ATCACAGCTAATTTCATAGTATCTCAGTCAATCGCTCAACATCCAAGATAATTCTTACAGTGTCTCAGATGATTCTCTAAACCTCCAGGCGGTGCTCCTAGCACTCCGGGTCAAGAGGGACCAACAAAGGTCTCAGGACACTTGTTTCATTATCAAATTTTCTCTGGACGGCTTTACCACTAATGTTGGATCTGAATTGATCCTTTGGAACAATTCATTCGCTCATTTGAACTGAGTTCATAAACTGAAGCTGTCGCAGGTCTACTGCAGTAGTAGATGCATGTTCGCGGACAGGTATAGATGTATGGATGTAGATCTTCGTGAAACTGAATGTGATTATGATTTTGGTGATGAAGTACTCTCGGGCAGTCATGTGCATCTACATGCATGCGAGAAAAACTTTTGGTTTTGCTGGGGATGGTAAAATCGTTTCCTAAGTTGTTACATTGTAAGAATAAAGTATTTCGTAAGGAAGAGAAGAAATACATTATCCACTAAAAGAGTTGACGATGAAACATGTCGACAAAAAATCTTTCGACGAAAAGTCGTCGACGAAATGAATTCGACAAAGTATACTGTCGACAAAGCAGTTGGCGACGAAACGGCCGCCGACAAAATTTCTGTCAGCAAAGTGTGCTGTCGACGAATGGTATGCAATTCTAAGCTTCAGGATATAGGAATAAGGAGGGCAGGTAAATATACCTACGCTCTTCTCACTATAATCTTGCCAATATAGTTTCATGTTTCTTTAGCGGTAAGAATAGCATCAAAGAGCAATAGTGTAACTCTACAGAAGACAAATCGACTGCACAAAAGAAAAAAATCATCCTTTGAAAGTGCGCTCGCGCACCATCGCTTTATGTAATTAGAGAAGCAAAAAGCGCTTCAACTACTTTGAAAATGACTGTTGCACGCGTAGCGAAAATATGCAGGCTAAAGAAACTACTCGTTTCTATATATATTTTTACAAAATTATGTTTCATTCATGTGTCTTCTAGGTTCCTCTCCAACAAGCAGTTGGTATAATGAAATCAATTCATATAACTTTGGTTCACCAGGGTTTTCATCATCGACTGGTCATTTCACACAAGTAATTTGGAAAGGATCGAAACAGTTAGGAATTGGTATCGCTTTCACAAGCAATAATCGAACCGCTTATGTTGTGGCTAACTATTATCCTCCAGGAAATGTGACCGGTTCATTCTCTTCTAATGTACTTCCACTTTGTTCCACAATGACTAAAGCTCTAGGAACAACAACTGGCATCTCATTAACAACAAGCACTTCTCCTCCAACAACTGTTGCAAGAACGACGACAGTTACGGCGAGAACATAAATCATGGAAAATGAGTGAAATACTGGGTTGACCAGATGAATGTCGTTGTCAGTTATTAGTTGGCTATATTGAACAACGTTACGTGTGAATCTTGAATTTTATTAAATCTTAACTTTTGCTGGAAAGATTTCTGCTATTGATCTCTAGCTAGTATTTTCGAAACAGCGGCTAAATAACAGTGACCGTGTTCTTGAACAAGATTCGACCGATGTAGAGGAGTATTTTTGTATACGATGAAAGTATGCTCTTGATCATAGTCATAAAACAACGGCTTTTTCTACAAGGAAAACCAAGGATGAGCATTCATCCCCTCAAGCTTTTCAGTATTATGAATTCTTGTTTAACGATGAAATAAAATGAAATTCAACTTATACAGTTGTTTAACAGAAATGGAACACTCGCAATATGAATACTTTGTTTTATATACAATCAGTACTGAAAAAGTTTTTCTTATGCTGCTTAGTGAAGTGATTTTGTGCACGCACATTCTTTTTCTATAAAATAGACGCTTGTGCTATTCAAGACAATCATTTTATGCAAACTGTGGTGTTGGTTATCCAATTAGCGGTCTTTGATTTCGCTCGTTATTACACATGTTACGGATGTGATAATTGTTTGATGATGCTTCACCTAGCCGTTTCGAAAAATGTTGAACTACTGATTTTGAGTTTTTACGAAAAGAGATCAAGACCAGTACCCTCGAAACTGTGTTTTTGAAGCAGTCATATCTCGAGTATGCCTCCACTGATTGAACTGAAACTTTCGATGTAGAGATATATTACGTGGTTCGATATGCAAAAAATTCAAACATCAGTTCGTCGATGCCTGCTTTGTTTGAAGAAGACGCTAGATGTAGACGAAATGACTGCTATAGTCACTATTGAAATTCGTTTCTGCCGACTGAAAGAAAATCGGAGCCTGAAAGAAAAGAACTGGCTGCTACAGAAAAGGAATCCGTCGCAAAATGCAATTTTTGCCATCGGTAACGGTTATATTCTAAGTCCAGATACAAAAGCCCAAAGACTCAAGTGGATAGCATACGCCTGTTCCGAAGCACAAGGACCTAACTGTCAGATTTCATACATGAATGCCCTTATACAAACCACGAAGTAAATTCTATGTTTTTACTCTTGCATCGCATCATTGGCTAAGCTCTTTTGTAAATTGCTGGAGAGCGCTATTTTGTGCTACAGAATGAGACTAAAGTGTTAAAAAAAACAATTGTTTCCAGGTTACCACATAAGACACATCTCTGCCAAATGTCTACCTGAATAGTATTTCTCATATAAACTGTCCTTCACAGGCGATCAGCCTAAATATTTATGTATAGTCACACACAATGCAGTATTTCCATCTGTTTCTGGATGAAAAGTTACCTGTTCCACAGAATAGAAATCGATGGAGAGTGTCCTTGTTTCTCAATCTATGAATTGGAAAGGAAACTTGTGCATGAGAGTGTAAATGTGGATGGGCGGGGTAGGAGTGTATGGTTGTGGTTGTGAATCAGGAGAATTGACACAAACACCCAGACCTATCCACACCGTTTCATACCTTCGCCCATTGAATTCCTTTTTTTTT